CGCACAATGGTGTACCACCGTAGAAAACTGATAAAATAACTGGGAAAGATAAGATCTAATTAAATCGCAATTCTCTAAAAATACACAGTGGTACCTAATATGAAGGTAGAAGTAGGAACCCGTTACCCAATATTTACCTCCATGTTACTATCAACTATTAACAATCAATGGCGCACAATAGTGCGCCGCGCGCCTACTGCAGGGTTAAAGTCACGATCGTCCCATTTATGAAAATGGTCAACCCTTTCACGGACAATATACGGTCTACGTTGAAAATTTAAATATTCTAAAAACTGCTCATCATCGTCATAGAATAAAACGTCATTTTCGAAATTCATTTTAAGTTTAAAAAAAACCTCAGAGTATTAATAACGGATAATTTTAAACAACGTTATAAAAAAAACGAATAATTTTTCATGCTAATGATAATAATATAACCGTTGATTAATCTATTAACTGATAAAAATAGTAGCGGTTAATTTAACTGTCAGTTAGCTGAACTGGGACTCCATAAACAGTTTAACTGAAAGATAACGTTAACCATCAGTTAAGTCATACTGTCAGTTAAATGCAATTGAAAAACCGGGCCTGTACAAAATATTATCTTGTACACATGATACACAGAGAAAGAAAAACAAAATAGGTTATGTATAAATAAACAGAAACATGATAAATAAAAGTGGTAAGAGATTACAACACTTCTCCTTATCGTGTGCATTAATTAACCCTTCACTGCATGAATTTTTTTTTTTTACGAAAAAATTAGAAATGATTAATATTATAATACAAAAGTTAGGGATATAAAAAAAAAATGTTTTATTAACTTTTGAACGAACTTACGTACATTTTAAGTCTCAATGCATATATGACCTTACAAGCATGGAACACATCTTATTATAACTATTAAAAAATAAAAATTAATTCTACAGTTTTATTTTAAATTCTATTTAAATTTAATAATTTTTTTAAATAATTTTAAATATTTTTTTAATAATTTTTTTAACATTCTAATAATTATTTTCTTGTTCATTTTGTATGAAAATCTTCAAAACACGTCTTATTTCTACTAACACATAAATATACATTACATTTTATACATTTTACAAATGTTTGAGATTTACATGATGGCATTTTACAAACTCTTCTTGTATCTACAAATTGCGGCCAATGATTACAATCCTAAGTAATACGAATTTCAAATTATTTACTAAAAAAAATATTATAAATAAATAGGTATACCTCGTTAACGTCTCGAGAAAATATTTCCAAAATTTCATCATCTAAATCACAAACCTCGTCTCGCTCTCATATGGAATGTTTAAAACTTCATTTATGTCTTTATTGTTAAGTTTACTCATTTTAATTTCAAACAAATAAAGAATAAAAACCATCAAAAACGAAAAAAAAGTAAAAATAAACACCGCTGACTTGTACCTATAAACCATAATGACAAATGCATGGAAGGTCATATGTGACCGCGGTAACAAAATATCTGTTTTATAATCAAATAAACATGGTTGAAGATTATCAACAGTTCATTCTGGTAAAGCAGACGACAACAATACACGTTGTATTTTTTTCAACACCATAGATACAATTTTAGTATAATAAAACAGAGTATTCCACAGCTATTTTTGTAGTAGCCACAACTATATAATATATATGCCATTTTTATGTGTTTACTGCACTCTATTGCTCAAAATCGTTTTAAAAATCGATAAATCAGTTATTTTTCCGACAGATAACGATGTAACAAATTACATTCAACCATAATCAATAAGTTATATCAACACAAACGTTTATATGTTATTGCATCGAGTTATTATTTTTTTTTTGGTCGACAACCAGTTTTCCTTCTGGTTATTCTGAGGCATTACTGTATTTGTTATTGCACTATTATAATACGATTCCATTATCGGTTATTTTGGTTTCAAAAATATAACGTTAAAAAGTTACATAATGACAACATCGAAATTAGCGACTTGTAAAAACACAGAGGCATGGTTAATTGGACAGCCTATACAACAAATAACAGGTTGTAAACTTCCTTCGAAGGGGGATATTCTACGTCGAATTTTGTTTTTGAACTCTTACCTTCATCAACAAAGGCACCAGATATTCCGCAGCGTTTCACTGCTTCATCCAGAAGACGGCCTTTAACAAAAGATAAGGTTAAATGATCTGTTGACAAAGCCTCTATAGCAGTTATCACGACACTATATGACACAGGCAAAGACAAAAGTAGATGACAAATAATATCGTCATCCTCGATTTTGCTTCCTGCAGATTTTATGTTTCTAACTAGATCGTCAAACATCATGAAGTGTTCTTGAAGCGAACTACTCTCTTCATGTTTCAAAGACATCAACTTGCTTTTTAAATATAGACGATTTGAAATACCTTTTCTTTCAAAAATTGATATGTTTATCAAATTTTTCTTTGGAGGTATTTCCGTCCCTTACATATTCTAAGTGTGAATCAGAGGCACACTGAATGATAATTGATTTTACCTTACTGTCATCTTTCCCAAATTGAAGTTTTACAGATTCCTCTGGTATGCTCGATTTCTCAGTCCGAACATAGTACAAAACGCCTTGATCTTGAAGAATGGCTTCAACCCGAAACCGCCAACTGGAGAAATCCTTGCTACTAAACGGTGTAACACCATACCGGTTACCATCATCCTTTGACTTATACATGACACTTGTCTTTCCATCCAAAAATTAATAAAACTCAGCCAAGTAACACTAGCGTTAGACCTGGGCCCATAACCTGTTATTTATTGAATTAATTAAAGTAACAAAACAATACACATGAGGCAAAAAGAAATTAAAAATACATAAGAGTATATTAAACCTAATGTACAAAATATTAACTATATATAGTACACATGACACACAGAGAAAGAAAAACAAAATAGGTTATGTACAAATAAACAGAAACATGATAAATAAAAGTGATAAGAGATTACAACAAACCCATCATCACTTTTTCCTTCGTAATTTGGACAATCTTCTTCTTCATTGCTTTCATTAACATTCATTATTAATTTTTTTCTAACAGACTTTTTTTTTACATAATATAACTGTTTTAATTTTTGGCTTTTGCAGTTCTATTGATCTTTTATTTAATTCTATATCATCCTTCACTGGAGTATTTATTAAAATACGGGTTTTACCCTTTTTTCTTCCTCTCTCAGGAACGTTATGCTTCCTCTCAGGTGCCTTAGGATATGGTCGTATTTCTTCTGGACTAACTATTGATTTTACTATGCCTTTTGGATCATGTCTTAGAGTAATAATTGGGGTAAGCTGTGGGTGTGTTTTATGCGTTTCATTGGATGGACCATGTCGTGGTTCTGTTTCAATTGACATTGAACTATTAAATAGATAAGGTTGTAGTACAGTTTCCTTTAACATTGAACAATTAGATGGACCAGGTTGTTGTTCAGTTTCAATTGTACCTTGGGTAGTTTCATCAGTTGTATTGGGGTTGTTGATGGGCGATCAGTCACATAAGATAGTAAAAATTCATCATCTTCAAAAATTCCTTCATTCAGAAGATAAATTCCTGTCACTTGAAAGCCTTTTGTAATATTTTGAACTGAAAATGCCCGGCCATAAGCTTTTAAAATACTTCCACCTATATTATAAATAGTGATTGGACGCCTGTTTTCTACCATCCACTCTTTTACAGCTCGATTATAAAATGTTTTGTATGGACCGAATACTGTTCGGTCCAGAGGCTGGAATTTATGTGACGTATGAGTTGTTAATGTTAAGAAAATAATATGGTTCTCTCTGGCCAATATAATAGCTTCTATTGTTATGTGAGATTCATGGTTGTCCAAAATAAATAAAACTTTATTTTCAGCAGATGGTTTTGTGTGTTTAATGAAATGTTTCATATACTCTAAAAATATAATATTATTAGACCAGTCAGATGGATTGGCACCTCCAATTATACCAGGCGGAACTTGTAACAACATAGGCTCAGTACATTTTTTTCGTGGAATTATAACCATGGTGGAACATGATTACCGGCAGTACAAATAGCACAAATCATTGTAACATTTACGGGCGTTCGCCAGAGGTCACACAGCCAACTTTATTAGTCTCCTTAGTGGCAATGATTTTTGGAGGTGCATGCACTGTGAAATTCCTTGTTATATCCAAATTATATATTCTGTCAGGAGTGAAATGACTTCGACTCAAACAATTGATTAGATTTTCGAAAAAAACAGAAACATCAAACTTGTTAAAGCTAGTAGCTCTAGACATACTAGTTGCCTCAGGCTTCCTAAGGGATAATGTTTTATTTCGGTTAAAAAAATATCTCAGTCATTCCTTACGAGCTTCTTCAGTATTTTCCCATTCTTTCACATTTTTCCCATTCTTTATTGCAAACAGATATGCTAATTTTCTATTGTCAGTTTAGTAAGATCATACTGTAACCTAGCAGACATTTCCAAGTATTTAACTAGTTCATTCTCTTCGTCTACAGTAAATATTTTGCGGCAATTAATATTTGATGTTTAAGTATCTTTGTGCAAGCTCTTAAACAATTTAAAATGTCGTAACAATGTAGTTTTCGACACATTATAAGTACTTACAGCTTGATATATTGATATATTTTTTTTTAGAAACGTCATTAACTGCACATTCAAAGTTAGTTTTAATGGGAGGTACTCTTATGACACCACTTTACTCCTAGGCATTTTAACTTTTCAAATCTACAAGCAATTATACAAAATAATTCATTATGAAATCTCAATTAATACGAGTTTCTTTTTTTTATTTTCTAAAGGTTTTATTTTTTTTGTCAGGTCGCGAACCCTCTTGAATCGATTGTGTTCACCCACCCTTCCAAACCCCTTAACGTCCTTTACCGCCACCACACCTCCAACGCATCTCCATGGTTACCGCACGTCATCTCTCCTGGCAAGGGATCGAACGTAGGATCCGGGACGCTCGCGCCAGTCGCAGTGTTCAATTGTTACCGAAGGCGTTTTGATGTCGTGTGCAGCAGCTATTCGTTTCGAAGGGGATTTGTGTATGTATACAATTTTTTTTTATTTTTACTTACATTATATGTTTAACTACACCCGACGACAATGTATTCGTGCAACGGTTTGTAACCGAGTCAGGTCGTTTCAATATTGTTTACAGCCAAATTTACCGGGATTTTTTTTAAATGCCGCTTTTTTTATTGGGGTCAAGTGCGATAATTGCAGACGAACGGAGAAAATGTAACTGCAATTTTTTCCTATGCATATAACCAACCACGTTTTATAATTAAAAATGTCCAATTGAGATTTGACACACGTACCGGGCCATATTTGTTGTATACAAATGTGCCACGCCCGTTTTTTTCTATGACTGTCACATGCAGTTGTGTCTGTGCAAAACATACAAGTAGTGAATTCTTGTAAAACTCTCTAGATTACTTTGTGTAGTTCTCTTCGCGCGAGTTTTAATATTTAATTGTGTTATATTTTATTGTCACGGGGAGGGGCAGTCGCTGTTAATTCTAATCATAGTCAAATCATTTTATTTACGGAACAGAGGCACAGAAACAACAAAAGTCATACTTTGGAATAGGAATAGGTTACCATAATTAAAATAGTTAATTGTTTGATTTTTTTTTATTTCTATTTTTAGTAATTTTTTGCAGTCGTTCTGTGAGTAATTTTACATTAACCAAATAAGTAATATGTATCAAGTTATCCGTTTTTTACCATTTATTATTATCTTTTCGTTGTTTCGTGATTTAGTAGGCACATGTATTTATTCAGAGTTAATCGGTAATCACAGGGGCTGACGTCTAGCTCTAACAACTTTAATTTATAATTGTGATTTGTATTTATTTAACTCATTATTAGTTCAGTTTACCACGCAAATAACTAACTATCCAACAATTACATACAGCATATTATTTATTTTTGTATTTTATTTTTATTTTGCCCGAAGATGTTGGACTGATTTTTGGTGAGGGTCTTCCAACTAACTATCGATACCCGTATAATTGCTACAATCGATAGATAACACGTTATAAAATAAAATATGTATTGAACGAACATAATCGATATTGGTGTACGCGATTCCGATGTTTAGTTCTCTTACAACCAAATTTTCAAAATCGAATATTGTCAACTATCGATTGCGTGCTTTTGCAACATAGTTTATCGTTTTATTTCCATATTTTCTCTTCTTCTTTTATAGCTGATTGTCATGCTATTATATTATATATTAGTTCCCTATATTTTATTAGACACTTGCGATACAATAGCATACCTGCTTCTAGCATCTGGCTCTACATTTTTTCTCTCTTGGATTTTTTATTCTCTAACCCTTTCAACAATATCGTGACTCGACTTTTTATTCTTATTATTATGTTCTCGGTGTATAGATTGTCAAAAAGTGTTTTTTTTTTATGATCCTGGTGAAACACATACGATGTAGCTGCTCGCGGGCAGAAATAAACTAAATACCAAGCGTGCGGTTTTTTTTGTTGCAATAGACCCATGTAGAAATTCGTCTTTTACAGCTCATTTTTATACACTCGAAAAACCTCAGGATCATGAACTTATGCGTTACTAATTCCATGTTTTTAAATTTGTAATTGGATTTGTTTTAACTCTTCCAAAACAAATCTTTCGATAAATGACGTCATTGGATTCCGTATTATTTTTTAATAAACACCAAAAATAAGAAAACAAACGCTTATTAAAGCTTGTAAAAAAATGGCTATCGTAAGAAAAATATAATATCATAAAAATAAAAACTCACGAGTCAGTTGTTTATCTTATAAAAGTAATCCTGTAAAACTTAATGTAACAGAAGTTTTGAGTGGTCGTTTATAATCTATAATAAAATTTAAACCCAACACTCATGGTATTTTTGTAGTAATGAAATTATACAATGACATTTTAATTAACTCTTAATCACAAAAATATCTCATTCGACTAGTCTAAAAAGCTAACTAATAAAATCCATAAAAAAATAGACTTACTCATTATATGGTCGCTCTGGAATCAAAATAGTTAAATCAGCACCGTTCTCAACTGCAGTTTCGCCTACGCTTCCTCTATTAGGGTAGTTGTGCATCTACTATACTTGAAAAAATTCAAACCTTCCAAAATAATTTAATAAGAGTAATAACTAACGCTCCCTGGTTCGAACGCAACAATAATTTACATAAAGACACCCAAATTAAAAACATCTACGATCTCATAATTACTCTGGCGGAAAAAATTCATAGTTCACTAAAATCAACAGGTTCATTTTACTTCAATTTACACATACATCCATCAGTCTAACGACGCTTAAGATGCGGCCGTCCACACGATCTGATTAATTAATTATTTTTATTCTTATCTTATATTTTTCGCATTCCTACTATTATCATTTTATAAAAACTTAAAACTGTATCTGTATATTGTATATCCTCAGATGAGATAGCATTAGCTAGGAAGATCTTATTGTAAATAAATACAAACAAAAAATAACGTTATTAAAGTCGACCTGCGAATCTATCTAACTATCGATTTAGAAATCGATAGTTCATTCTCTCCACCTCTTCAACATGAATCAATCACTTCTCCTCATTTATCATTTTCACTCACTGTCTAACACCACTACTCCCTAATCCTTCTACATGAAATCTAGACCCTATCTTCCTCCACCTCTTTAATCCCTTCAACTCTTTCTCTCCACTTACTCCAACTCTCCCTTTACCTCATTTTCTCTATCCTCCCACCTCTAACAATCACGAAGTCAAGTACGTAATTTTTCATGAAACCGTCACCTTAAAAAAAACAGGAATATTTATTTTCACATAATTTTAAAAGGGTCAAGTTAATAAATTACCTATGAATATTATCATGAGCCATGATTTAAGTAGAATCATTTTTAGTTTAAAAACACAAAAAAAAAATTATATGTATACAATATTGTTGTAAATAGTGATAATAAAGAAAATAAAAGTTTAGTATGAATATAATATAATAGTGCCATACTAATATAATGAGAATGAGAAAAAAAAACTGCTATATCGTGTGATTTACGGTTTGGTAGACTGACGATTAATGCCTGCAGAGTCGATGTTAGGAGGAAGACCAAAGGATTGATAATCGCTTTAAACTCGTCCAGGAACTTTGATAGGGGTTCGATGATCGGGAGAGATGTTGCTTTACCGGTATTGACGTGACTGACGACCGATGCGTAAGAGCGGGGCTGTGATGCTGTGTAATCAATGGGAATTGACTGGCGATTTCTCTGTTTGTTTTATTTTTATCCCGATTAGACTCTTTATTGATTTTGGATTTTCTTTTAGAAAATAATTTTTGATAGATTTTACATCCTTTGTAGCTTGCAGTATGATCTTTGTTGCCAAGAGCACATTTGGCTGGTTAGTCTCGTGGTTTTTGACATTCCACTGAGGAATGGTCATCACTGCATTTTACGAAACGTGGTTGATGAGAACACATATTTTTAGTATGAAAATAGGGTTGACAATTCTTGACTGAGGAATAAAATTATGCTTCCGTGGTTTTCCGATCTTAACGCGTATACTAAGAAAGGATGAGATATTAAAAATCTCTGTATTATTGTCAGGTAATCCTAAATCAATTCTCCAAAAAGACAGTGGACGTTTAGTCTTTTAGCTTAAAATATTTGTAATACGTAAAGCCGTGTGGCCGAGTTGCTTGAAAGCAGTGGATATGTCAATTACGAGAGTTGAGTGATGTAAGTGTTTTATAATTATACTAAAAAGTTTGGAAGCTTTTGGCATATATGAGTGAAAATTATATTTCTTTTCCTTAAAAAAATTAAAAAGGATTATAATCTTCAAGGTTGGGATTGTCTTTGTAAGCTGTTTTAACAATGTCAAGAATTGTACCTTCTTCCGAAAGTACAGCAAACTTATTTGTTAAAGAGAATACCTTTGATTTTTTTCATCTATTCTGGGAGATGTAGGTGAAGAGAGGTTGCTTACCTGCAGGTATTAGCTTACCTTTGAATATATTGATAACGAACCGCGTGACAACAGACGTGCGTTCATATTGGCCGACGAAACCGGACACCAAAATACTCTATATTATCCTAATTATTGTCTTAAAATATTACTAATTGCTCAATTTTCCTTTTGATTGTATCCATAGATAATCTTAAGCTGTCCAAGTACCGCTATCCATAAAATTGCCCTTCGGGGCTCGGACCAAGGACGCTCACAAGCGATGGCGTATATTTGTAAAAAAAGCGATTGCAGCGTTACAAATCGTATTGTAACTTGTAAGTATATTTATTATTATTATCGTAATGTAGTTTATATAATAAGCGATTCATGACACCATAATGATTTTTTTTTTTTAAATATGCTAACATATTTAAATGTAACATAAACATTCCAAAATATATATTAATTTATTATAATACACATGAGACATATAACTACAAGATCTGGAACCAAATTTGAAAACACCCGTTTTTATATTATTTTTCAAATAAAAATTATATTCTAAACATTTATTACAAAACCAAAATCATTAATTGAATACAATTTTTTTTAAATTATCTTGTGATAAAACATGTTTTTGTTTGCTACCTATCGTTAATTGCAAACAAATCCTTCGTTTTTGTGTGCCTATGTAACAATTGTACCAACGATTCACTTTTTTATTACAAAGATCTGATGTTGAAGTATGGTTAAAGCGTGTACTTTCATAAATTAATTTTACAAAAAAAATTGTATTTTGTTAAATAAAACCATTGAAAAACTAATTTAATTACTACCTCAAGTTTCCAAACAAAGTTTCTACATCACTTACTTAGTAATATTGTTTCAAATTTTTATGAAATCTGGAACGCTGATTTTAACACGTTGACTGCCACAAAACCGCCTGTAACCATAGTCATGTTATTTATGTGACTCCACATGGGTCGCCCGCTGTCAAATAAAACATCAACATAAATATAATTTATTCGCTAACCCCTAGTAATTTAGTAAAAATATTGAAAACTATCATATGTTTCTGCGACATTTGTCATCTAATTTATTTGTGTGATCTATATCTAGGTAATCTGGACGCGTTTAAGAGCAAATCTACTGTAAATCAGGCTTTTTCATGGCAACAAAAGATCATTAAGATTTTGGCCTGTATTCATAGTTTTGGCGAAATTCAAGAGACACTGCCCCCCTAAATCGTGTAAAAAAAACCATTCAAAGTATCTATTTGCTGACCATCCCTGTTGAACTACATCACATAGCCATACTCAAAACAAATGGATTCCCGATCGATCGAGGACAAATTAATAATTAGAACATTACATGTGCATACAAAATCCACCCAGAAGATAGTTGTTTGGACTAACGCTTCAAAAAGATTGATTTCAGCAAGCGGTAAAAATTATATTATAAATTAATGTGTGTGTTTATTATAGTTTTAAACGCAATGCATATATTTAAGAACTGTTTAACGAACTAATTGAAGCTAGCCTAAATTCTATTCTCGGATCTATTAATTATAACATAGTACAATTAATATTAACGTTAATTTGTAAATTAATTTGATTTAATAACCATGATGGAACTTCCTTATATATTAAATAAATTATATAATAATTAATTCAACAATTTAGTTAGTAGTTGGCTATTATATGAGTAAATATATTTACATCACAAATTCAAATAGGATACATTAGGTTAAATTAGGTTGAAAGCGATCTTGTCAAACGTTAAACTTTCATAGGTTAATACTTTAAAACAAGTCAGTATTAATAAAAAATAATGTTAATGACTTATTACTTGTCATTCAAGGGTGGAAAAATGAAGAATTAGATTAATTGAAATATCGCAAGCGAAGACTTGGAATTTCAAATATACATTAAGTTATAGGTAAAGATCAATATTTATAAAAAAATATATAGTTTAAGTTTGGTTAATAGGTTATTTTTTAAGGAAATAGGACTTAAACGTAATTTAATTAAAGGAATAAGTTAGGTTAATTTTTTTTTGTATATTTTTTTTTCGACAAAAAAAAATATATTGCCCAAAATAACTTATATTAGAATTATTTGAAATATCGCGAGCAAAGATTCGGAATTTCATATACACATTAAGTTATAGGATTAGGTAATTTAGTATTAGAATAATTAGGTTGCTGCAAAATAACTATATTTTTTTAATTAAGATAAATTGTATATTGTATGTAAGTATATTGTAAGAAGAAGTACTATTATTAATAGTTATTAGATTATCCAAAGTAATTAATAAGATATATATGTTGTGGTTAGCATTACACAAATTATCAATAATTATTGTTTATTAATTTGATTTCATTATTATTGTAATGAATCGGCAACGGCCATTTAATGACCTTGTGTGTATTAAATAGGCTAGTTGAAAGTTGACGAGTACAAATAGACAAGGCTAAGAAAAATTTAGGTTTATTGAAAATCTACAAGTAAAAAACTTGGGCTTTTAAATCTCTAACTTATAAGTAATATTCATAAAAAATATATAATTAAAGTTAGGTTATAAGGGTATTTTTTAAGAAATTCGTACTTAAAACGTAATTTAAGTATAGAATTAAGTTAGGTTAATTTTTTTTTATATATTTTTTTTAACAAAAAAAAATATATTACTAAAATTTCTTCAAAGTTTCTCAATGGGATAATTGAAATATCGCAAGCGAAGACTTGGAATTTCAAATATACATTAAGTTATACCTAGGTATAGATCATTTAGTGACTAATTTTTTAAGTATTATTGTTTATTATTATTAATTTGATTTGGTTATTATAATGATAAATCAGTTATTAATTAGTCGTTACCCAAATCTGTAGTTAATAATGTTAAAAAATGTAATTTAAGTATTGGAATAGGTAAAGTAAAATTTTTTTTTAATAGAATTAATTATAATATTTGTTTAACAAATAAGATATAATTGTTAGTCATATTAAATTTAGTACTTAATGTAAGCAAAAATAAGGGAATAATATTTAGTGCTAATCATCATAGGTTAAGAAAGTCACCAGTGGCCAAATAGAAACACTCGGGATCTTCAAAAAATAAATAAATATTTAGGTGAAAGATTTATTTGTTTATTATTATTGTTTTAATAGTATTATAGAAGTATTGACAACATAAAATGTCCATTTTTCATTGATTCTTTCAACTAATATTAGGTTAATTGACTGTCAGCAAGTGAAAACTTGGACTTTCAAACAAGTAAAATTAAGTATAGGCTTAGAAATTTATATAATTTTCAATAGTTAAGTATTTTTGACAAATTCACAAATTAGGAAAATCATCGAAATTAAAAAAATCACAAACGTTTATTCCGATAAGTTAATATATATTTTTTAAACAAGTAGTTCTTAATCTTTTTAAATTTTTCAAGAACCTAATAAAAATTGTCATTAACTGTTTTTAGAGCGGTTGTTTTTTTAGCATTTTTTTGAAATTTGAATTAAGTAGGTATAATGTTATGCCTCGGAGTGTGAGGTATTCGCTGTATGATTCCCATTAGATTAATTGTATTCAGAATGGTTTTTTTGTATATTTTTTTTTCGACAAAAAAAAATGTATTGCCCAAAAAAAAATGATTAGATTAATTGAAATATCGCGAGCGAAGACTTGGAATTTCAAATATACATTAAGTTATAGGTAAAGATCAATATTTATAAAAAAATATATAGTTTAAGTTTGGTTAATAGGTTATTTTTTAAGGAACTAGGACTTAAAAACGTAATTTAAGTAAAGGAATAAGTTAGGTTAATTTTTTTTGTATATTTTTTTTTGTCGAAAAAAAAATATATTGCCCAAAATAACTTATATTAGAATTATTTGAAATATCGCGAGCAAAGATTCGGAATTTCATATATACATTAAGTTATAGGATTAGGTAATTTAGTATTAGATTAATTAGGTTGCTGCAAAATAACTATATTTTTTTAATAAGGATAAATTGTATATTGTATGTAAGTATATTGTAAGAAGAAGTACTATTATTAATAGTTATTAGATTATCCAAAGTAATTAATAAGATATATGTGTTGTGGTTAGCATTACACAAATTATCAATAATTATTGTTTATTAATTTGATTTAATTTTTATTCTAATGAAACGGAAACGGCTAATCAATGACCTCGTACTCATTTAAAAGGCTAGTTGTAAGTCGACAAGTGGAAAACTTGGGCTTATAAACCTCTAACTTATAAGTAATATTCATAAAAAATATATAATTAAGGTTAGGTTATAAGGGTATTTTTTAAGAAATTCGTACTTAAAACGTAATTTAAGTATAGAATTAAGTTAGGTTAATTTTTTTTTTATATATTTTTTTTAACAAAAAAAAATATATTACCAAAATTTCTTCAAAGTTTCTCAATGGGATAATTGAAATATCGCAAGCGAAGACTTGGAATTTCAAATATATATTAAGTTATACCTAGGTATAGATCATTTAGTGACTAATTTTTTAAGTATTATTGTTTATTATTATTAATTTGATTTGGTTATTATAATGATAAATCAGTTATTAATTAGTCGTTACCCAAATCTGTAGTTAATAACGTTAAAAAATGTAATTTAAGTATTGGAATAGGTAAAGTAAAATTTTTTTTTAATAGAATTAATTATAATATTTGTATAACAAATAAGATATAATTGTTAGTCATATTAAATTTAGTACTTAATGTAAGCAAAAATAAGGGAATAATATTTAGTGCTAATCATCATAGGTTAAGAAAGTCACCAGTGGCCAAATAGAAACACTCGGGATCTTCAAAAAATAAATAAATATTTAGGTGAAAGATTTATTTGTTTATTATTATTGTTTTAATAGTATTATAGAAGTATTGACAACATAAAATGTCCATTTTTCATTGATTCTTTCAACTAATATTAGGTTAATTGACTGTCAGCAAGTGAAAACTTGGACTTTCAAACAAGTAAAATTAAGTATAGGCTTAGAAATTTATATAATTTTCAATAGTTAAGTATTTTTGACAAATTCACAAATTAGGAAAATCATCGAAATTAAAAAAATCACAAACGTTTATTCCGATAAGTTAATATATATTTTTTAAACAAGTAGTTCTTAATCTTTTTAAATTTTTCAAGGACCTAATAAAAATTGTCATTAACTGTTTTTAGAGCGGTTGTTTTTTTAGCATTTTTTTGAAATTTGAATTAAGTAGGTATAATGTTATGCCTCGGAGTGTGAGGTATTCGCTGTATGATTCCCATTAGATTAATTGTATTCAGAATGGTTTTTTTGTATATTTTTTTTTCGACAAAAAAAAATGTATTGCCCAAAAAAAAATGATTAGATTAATTGAAATATCGCGAGCGAAGACTTGGAATTTCAAATATACATTAAGTTATAGGTAAAGATCAATATTTATAAAAAAATATATAGTTTAAGTTTGGTTAATAGGTTATTTTTTAAGGAACTAGGACTTAAAAACGTAATTTAAGTATAGGAATAAGATAGGTTATTTTTTTTTTGTATATTTTTTTTCGACAAAAAAAAATATATTGCCCAAAATAACAAAAATTAGAATAAGATTAATTGAAATATCGCGAGAAAAGATTCGGAATTTCATATATACATTAAGTTATAGGATTAGGTAATTTAGTATTAGATTAATTGGGTTGATGCAAAATAACTAAAATTTTGTAATTAAGATAAATTGTTTATTGTATGTAAGTATATTGTAAGAAGAAGTACTATTATTAATAGTTATTAGTTTATCCAAAGTAATTAATAAGATATATGTGTTGTGGTTAGCATTACACAAATTATCAATAATTATTGTTTATTAATTTGATTTCATTATTATTGTAATGAATCGGCAACGGCCATTTAATGACCTTGTGTGTATTAAATAGGCTAGTTGAAAGTTGACGAGTACAAATAGACAAGGCTAAGAAAAATTTAGGTTTATTGAAAATCTACAAGTAAAAAACTTGGGCTTTTAAATCTCTAACTTATAAGTAATATTTATAAATAATATATAATTAAGGTTAGGTTAGAAGGGTATTATTCCTAGAAATTCAGACTTAAAAACGTAATTTAAGTATAGAATTAAGTTAGGTTAATTTTTTTTTTTTATATTATTTTTATTGACAAAAATAAATAAATTTCCAAAAATTACTTAAATATGCCTCAGAGAGTGAGGTATTCGCTATATGGTTCACATTAGAATAATTGTATTCAGAATGGTACTTTTAAAAGTATTAAATTAACGTTCTGATGCAAGTAAGTAATTAGGTTAGGTTAGGTTAATTATTTTATTAAATTAGGAAATTATAAATGCTAAATCAAGCACTTTGGATTTAAAATAATAATTATGTCATAGGTATATTTAGGCTTATGTATTTTATTTTTTATTTGGCTACAGTTGCCATTAGCCAATCGCAACATGCATTAGTATACAGTTACGTTTTTTTTTCACTTAAAACTAACTAAATATTCTATGTA